TCTAGATTCTCAATTACTGGTATATGCAGGTGAATTTATAGCTTCTGCAGCAAATCTTTGAGCTTCCCCAGTACGACAACATTCTCTTCTTCACTGCCAACGGTGATACGTAGACATCCCGCACATCCCGGCTCCCCACCACGGTATCGCACCACCACACCCTCCTCTTCTGCCATCGTCTTGTAGATGGCCTGCGCGCGCACGTTGTTTGGCTGTCCATTCCCGTTCTTGTCCAGCACAGGCACAATCACGAAGTTGGCGTCATTTCCACCGATCGCTGCACCCAGCCCCAGCGGTGCAAGCTGTACGAGACCCCGCAGCAATGCGCTGCGCTGCAATACCAGTCTTGCCACCTTCTCATTCATGCCCGCGACGGCAGGCGGCGAGAGTGCGGACAATGCTAGGGACGCGGTCGGCGCTGAAATATTGTAGGGCGCCTTGGTGTTCATTAGAATTTGAACAAGCGCAGGGTGAGCAAATGCCATGCCTAAGCTGTCAAATTCGCCTATTCAGAGCCGAGACACATGGCACAGATTAAAGACAGACGCGCACCGAATGGCTGCCAATCCAAAGCTCTTGCTTAGGGTCTGCATGACGCATACGTTCGCAAACTGTTCGACTAGGGAAACAGCACTCGCAGATTCGCTGGCGAAGTCGATGTATGCTTCATCCACGATGACGAGACCCTTGAATAGGTCGAAGCTGAGTAGCTCGCGCAAGGCCGATAAGGAGATGAGCGTGCCGGTGGGATTCCCTGGTGAGCACAGCATAATAAGCTTAATCGACGGGTCGGCCGCAACGGCCTTCTTGATCTACCCTGATAGTTAATTCCAAGTGATGACGATGTAACTATGAGACCCTCACACCTCCTCGACCCGAAGGGAAAATCTTCCGCTTACCCCGCCTTCGCCATGGTTGCCGCTCAGTTCAAGAGGAATTTTGACTACCCCAACGTCATTGACCTGTGCGCAAACACTGTACATGCCATACGTTGGAGGTGTAATGAGGATCTTCTCCCGTCCAGGCGCAACGCACACCCTCATGAGCAAATCAATGACCTCGTCTGACCCAACACCGAGGAACACATAATCGGGGCCAGGAAGGCGGCGCAGGTTTGCGAGCCGCTCCCTGATAGCATCGTTACGGGGAGATGGATACCGGTGCAAGTCAAGAGCAAGGGTGGGCTGTAACTCTGGCTCCAGTTCAGACTTGTGCTGCTGGATCGAATGCCCTAGCGCATTCTCGTTAGCATCGAGCAAAATTCCCTCTGAATAGTCATCCCGAGCACAGCGATAAGGATGCAAGGCGAGAATATTGGGGCGGATGACTTCCTCGATATTAAAATGCGCAGGCGACGCAGGATACAGCGAGGGATCGAGGCCCAGGATCGTCATTGTCGGTTCTGACGATGAGTAGAAGACAAGAGCGGGTTTGAGTCATTCTGATCCAGGATTTCAGCTCGTAGTATAAAAAGATTGAGCGGGCTAAGTCTAGGAGATTAATCATGTGACCTCATGTAGCCCCGAGAAATTAAGGCTCGAACTGTAACTTGAAGTTGAACGACAAGTGAGGTGCCTGCGCTCACGATTGAGTATGGGGGATCAGCTCGAGGCTCGTATAGAAGCTATCGGAACGCTTCAAGGTGCGTATCCGATATAATCTGAGTATATCAAGCTCACAAATAGCGAATTCCAGGGCATGACGATCGAGTCTGGCATATTGCATGGAATCCGACAAAGCCCATTCTAGCTTCATGTTCGGCAGACAAGACTGTGCGGCTTTACACATATCGCACAAATCTGATATCGGGAGACTCAGAAGCGACCGCAAACTTGCCGTCCTTGACCTTCTCTCATTACACTACGATCCCCACTGGCCATTCTAAGACTGTTCGTGCGATTGCGTGGTCGCCCTCAGGAAAGACTCTGGCTACAGCGTCATTTGATTCCAATATTGGAATTTGGGAACAGGAGTCTGGTGAAGATGATGAGCCTGGGGGCGGAGCCTTGACAGGTTCAGAATGGGAGTGCATGAGTTTATTGGAGGGGCATGAGACTGAGTGCAAGAGCGTCGCATACTCTAGCTCGGGTAACCTGCTCGCCAGCTGTAGCAGAGATAAAACGGTGTGGGTCTGGGAAGGTACGTTGGTAACCGTGTTATCTGACTCGTGTCTCAGTCGTCACTAGTCCACCCTGATTCCGATTTTGAGTGCATGGGGGTCCTCATGGAGCATACTCAAGACGTGAAATGTGTTGCTTGGCATCCTAAAGAAGAGGTCGGCTTCCAGTCACCAAATTGCGAGCTCTTGCGCGTTTATTCATCACTCACTCAGCGCAGATTCTTGCCTCTGCCTCTTATGATGATACAATCAAATTGTATATTGATGATCCCTCGGACGACTGGTACTGCTTCCTGACACTCACGGATCATACATCCACAGTTTGGACTCTTGCTTTCTCACCGGACGGTCGATACCTTGCGTCGGGCTCAGATGACAAGACCGTGCGGGTATGGGAGCGGGTGCAGGAGCACAAATGGGAGTGTGCAGCAGTAATTGAAGGGCACGAGATGAGCGTTTACTCACTCAGCTGGGGACGCGGTAAGTCGATGGGGCAAAACGATTTGGGCTGGTTGGCGAGCACTGGTGGAGATGGTACGATCCTTGTGTGGAAGATGAGTGTAAGTGAAGTCCGGTTGTATAGGTAACTTTCATCTCATTGCGTCAATTTGAACAGACCACGCCACCAATCGAGGGTGGCGGCAAGACAGAATTGTTGTATTCACTCATGGCTCGATTTTCCTTTGCGCATGGTGTCTCGGATGTTAACACCGTCACTTGGTGTCCTCACGAAGGCTACGAAGACATCCTCGCCACCGCTGGTGACGATGGCGTCGCACGAATATGGAAAATATTTCATTGAGAATGACAGAAAAGAGAAGCGGTATTAGTAATTGTATAAGAGTGGATTGTGGTATGTTCGCGCTTACATGTTGCCACTTGCGATTTAACTGATTATCGTATTTTCTCAGGATGGTCTGCAGAGTACAGTACATCCACGTTCCGAAGCATTGTCCGGGCTGTGCTAATGCATATTCAATTTGGGTCGCGAGCGTTGGCCGCGGACCCGTGAATGTCTTAACTTCAGCCTTGTTGGGACTAGTCACACTTTGAGGCTCATCGGCGGAACGACCAAATTGGTTCCAGGTCATCTTCGTCGCCGAGACGTCAATATTTGTGCACCAGCGCGAATTTTGGCAACACGTCTGGGTGGCATGAGAAAAGCTCTCTTCAACCACCGGAAATCTTTTACAGCCTCTGTCAATTGTGAGTGGACTTATTATCAGTGATATTACAGTAATTTTGGCGATGTGAGGAAAGCGCATGTGCGTATTGACCTCCACAAGCTTCATTCTTCTTCCCTGTGAAAAATAGATCTGGCTCGTTGCTGCTTCAAGTTTTCAGCCTCATCAGCAATCCACAAAACTTACGCTGAGACGTACCGGTCCGAAATTCCCCTGATCTCCTCTTGTCACATTACCATCGCGTTCAGACTACATAAGTGCAGACTACTAATAACTATGTACATGGATAATATCGCGTGTCTGCGGGCACTCCCATATCCACCCGGAAAAACCTCGGACATCTTTATTACCAGTTTCCCGCTCATCCTTCAGTGTTCACTGATGACCCAACCCCGTGCTCAAGTCGACGCAGATGCACATCGAATGCGCACCATCGATCCGTGAGTATGTGGGCCATCTATATAAACAAGCCAGGCTCTTGTGGGGAAGATAACTCACCCACCCTCTTCGCATTTCCCTATCATTATGGCCGCTCAACTCCCGAGTGATTTCGTCTGGGGCTATGCCACAGGTGAGGACCTGACTATGAAGACAGCTAACATTTGTCCAGCGCTGCAAGGGCGTTGTTTATAGCTACCACGTACTCACATCCTTACCTAGCCAGTTACCAGATCGAAGGTTCTGCATCTACTGGAGGCCGTGGGCCGTCGATATGGGATACTTTTTGCAAGATCCCGGGAAAGATACGCGATGGCTCTAGTGGTGATGTTTCTACCGATTCGTACCGACTCTGGAAGGAAGATGTGGCTCTGTTAAAGTCCTATGGTGTCAACGCATATCGCTTCTCTTTGTCATGGTCCAGGATAATCCCACTCGGTGGAAGGGATGATCCGGTGAACGAGGAAGGTATCGCCTTTTACAAGGGTCTTATCCAAGAATTGCTGGACAACGGTATCACTCCTTACGTGGTAGGCGTCTAGATAAATGGATTGAATGTTGGTGAACTTGGCGTCTGATCACATACAAAGACACTTTATCACTGGGATTTGCCGCAAGGCCTACACGATCGATACGGAGGGTGGCTTAACAAAACCGAGATTGTACAGGACTACGTAAATTATGCCAAGGTGAGATCCCTATTTGTACTATCGACCCTTGCTCTTATTCTCCTAGGTCTGCTTCACCGCTTTCGGAGACCTCGTCCAGAACTGGTGAGCCCTGTCCGTGTGGATGTGCTCGAGTCCCATTGATGATGATGCATCAGGATCACACACAATGAGCCTTGGTGTATATCCTGCCTTGGTTACCAGAAAGGAGTGTTCGCACCGGGCCACAAGAGCAATACTGAGCCATGGATGTGAGTTTTGTATCTTGATATTGAGAGATCTCCGGCCCTGACAGGGGGCTGCATCAATGTTAGTGTTGCTCACAATCTAATTCTGGCTCATGCGTATGCAGTCAAGCTATACAGGGATAGCTTCAAGGCTTCACAGGGCGGCCAAATTGGGATTACTTTGGATTGCCACTGGCTCATGCCATACGACGACTCCCCCGAGAGTTTGTGTTGACTAGCGATGTAGAATGTACAATGAAAGGCTGACTGTTGGGCTGTGGTTAGATACCGAAGCGGTCCAACGTGGCCTCGCCTTCAAACTTGGTAAGCATTCATTGTAGTTCTTGGATGTCCATGCATGAATTGCTCGCCTTCAGGCCGTTTTGCGGTGAAAACTATGTTTCATTTCTGCGAGACGCAGAATTCATGGTTTGTTTGCACAGGGCCCTATTTATGAAGGCGCGTATCCTTCCAGAGTTAAGGAGAAAATTGGGGATCGCCTTCCCGAATTTACGGCGGATGAGATTGCGGTCGTGAAGGGGTCTTCAGACTTCTTTGGACTTAATACGTACACGTCTCAAATAGTTCGTAAGTTGCACTTCAAATTCCAAATTGTAGTGTTCTTGATCATACATGGTTGACGCTAGAGGATGGCGGAGATGACGAGACAAGTGGTTATGTCAAGATTGGTCATACTCGCGCAGACGGAACCCAGCTAGGAACCCAAGGTATTACTGCTGTAGCTCATGCCAGAGGACAACGTAATGATTCAATTGAAATGCAGCTCACGTAGCCTGGCTTCAGTCCTGTAAGTTTAGTTTTCTCTACTTTGATGTGCAATAGATTGAGTTTGGCGACGACAGACCCTCCTGGGTTCCGGAAGGTTTGTTAATATATGATCAGCATTTTGGAGACTGAAGCTCATCTATGTACACGGCCTCTAAAGCTTCTAAATTACCTCTGGGAGGTGAGTTGTTTAGGCTCATCAGACCAATATCCTACAATTGAATATACACACACACATGAAATTCAGACCTACAAGAAGCCCATCTAGTGGGTCGTTTAATGCCTTCTTGATGACCTAGGTCACTCAAGAACATATAGTATAACCGAGAATGGCTTCGCAGCAAAGAACGAGAACATCCTACCACTCGAGGTGGTACTGCATGACAAAGACCGCGTGGAATATTTCGAGGGCTATGCTAACGCGATGTTGGAAGCGGTTCACGAAGATGGGGTGTCCGTGAAAGGATATTTTGGATGGAGTGAGTTAATAGGGCTATATACCCGTCTTCTTTAATTGACTGTGTAACAAGGCTTGCTTGACAATTTTGAATGGTAAGATCCGACAAAATGAGGTTGTTTATTCTTATTCGAAGAAACTGACATATTCGAATTCATTCCAGGGCGGATGGATACGAGACTCGATTCGGAGTCACATATGTCGACTACGCTACGCAGAAGAGATACCCAAAGGATTCCGCGCGTGCGCTCCAGAAGGTATGCTTGCATGTACGCTCACTTTATATCCATATCTGAGAACTGCCACAGTGGTTCACGGAGCATATTGCGGCGTAAATTCCGCGCGGCTACTTTCGGTCAATAGTACCCGTCTCACTCTGAATTTAGTTGTATAATGATGCCGCCGCGAGTATGTAGACCGCCAACTGTACACATTTCTTATTCCAGCATCTCGTTCTGACTGGCTCATAACTCGCTATGGCATGCTGAAGAATGCTGTACGGCCCGATTCAATCCCATTGCTCCTGAATCACTGCGTATATACATATATACCACCTGACCGAAATTTTCAACTGACATCAATTTGACACATTTCTGTTGCTGTCAGTTGCCTGGCTTGGAATACCGTGTTGAGTACGGGTTTTGGAACACCCGGCTTGCATCGACGTGCTCCATTTGTCGGAACATACCATGGTAGACATCGCTTCTGAGCATCCTTATGACATGTGAGTAGCTATATATTACAAATTTTCTTTGATTTGTTTAGTAAGTGAAGAGATTCATTAGTGCAAACCGTATCAGGCTACCTCGGATGAACCATCAGCAAAAACCAGAACTGTAGTTATTTAATTACAAGTGAATATAAACCTCACCGGTATAGCGTTACTTGTCATACCGGATTGCAAATTATTAGTTAAATCTACAGGTTGCATGGTTTTGAAAATACAACACCGGCATTTACAATCGGCATGCTGTATGGTGTACAAATGTAAATAAGCCTCCCAAAATGCATCGAAAAATCAATTGCTTACCATTACGATCGCGCATTGGCGTTTCGATTGCGGCAAGATGAAGTTTTCACAACCAGGTGCAAGCAGATAAAGTAGTCATTCAATTCATTATTTAGTTACAGTTCCTACTAGTGTTACAGCAAACAGTCCTCGTACCCCTTCTGTCCTTATCCCACTCCTCAGCCACTCCTTGGCTGCCATTTCCTCTTTACTTACATTGCCGGGTGGTTGATCATATAAGCTGGGCTGATTCTGGGAAGATTCACGGTCACTTACCTCGGCGCCCCTATCCGTGGAAGTGCACATTCGCGATCGCGGTGAGAGCTCAAACAAAGGCCACCCCGCACTGTCCTCCGGAGGGTAGAAAGGGGGCGGCGGTAGCTCATGGGTCCGCGAAAAATGATGAGGACAGCGCAATTATTGAACTACTTATCCAAGTGCATATATGTGTGCATATATATATATATATATATATAT